GAAAAGAAAAAAAAATGTAAAAGGAAAAAGGCAAGAGCTGAGGTCAGTCTGAACTAGTTGCTGCCAGAGTCACCGTGTGGATGACTCTGTTTAACTGTTTATAAAAGCCTCTAAAAAAACCGCCCTCTACAGGAGGCAGGAGAACAATATGCCTCATCTACCTCAGGAATTTTTCGGCTTTTAACCCTTGCTTAGCTCTGCTCGAGTGATCATAAAGTCAGACTAGATGAGGCACCTCGTTCTCCTGCTGCCTCCTGTAGAGGGCACTTTTTAGAGGCTTTTTTAAACAGTTAAGCACTAAACAGAGTCATCCATGGTGATTCTGGTAGCAACTAGCTCAGCCTGACCTCAGCTGTTGCCTTTTTCCTTTTACATTTTTCTTTTCTTTTCATGATGACAGTGGTGAGGCTCTGCCTCCCCTGCCTCCCCTGCCTGCACATCCCTGGCCATTCTTATATGCAGATTTATATCTTTATTTAGTCCCTTTGTTTTGTACTGCTGAGCTGGGGCTGGCCTTTGCACTGCTCTGTAATGCAGCCTAAGGGGCTGCTTGCAGACCCAGAATGACACAGAATGCCGGGGTTGGGATTTATGCTGTGGTGCAGCTTGGGGGCTTCTTGTAAATCCAGAGCCACAATGCGCAGAAAGTACCCCTTTTATGCTTCCTGAGACACAGCAGCAGCTTTGTGCCATACTGCTCGGGCTTCCCAGGGCACAGGAGCTTTGCGATGAGCTGCTGCAGTGGTGGGTTCCTATCCGTTCGGCCTGGTTTCAATGAATCGCTTAGTCATTGAAATTCCAGGCCCAATTGTGATCATAAATTGAGGACTACTTGTAGATCAGCTTCCCCCATGTTTTGAGGGACCAATTCTGTGCCAAAAAAATTTCCACGGACCCGTGTGTGTGTGTGTGTCATGATTTTACATACTGCCTAAATTCTGTGCATGCCCATGTGAAGATTCAACACTTGCATGGCCTGGTTCCAGTCCACAGCTTGGGGGTCAGGAACCCCTGTTGTAGACAGATATCTCTCTGTAGACTGATAGTGTCTTGTTCACTTACTTCAAATTTTCTGGCTTGTGTGTACACATCTCTGTGTATATGTCTGTGTGTGTCTATGGCAATGGCGGGATTCAAAATGTTTAACTACCGATTCTGTGGGCGTGGCTTTCTGGGCATGGTGTGGCTTTCTGGGCGTGGCTTGGTGGGCATGGCAGGAGAAGGATACTGCAAAATCCCCATTTCCTCCTAATCAGCTGGGACTCAGGAGGCAGAGAATAGATGAGGGTGGGGCCAGTCAGAGGTGGTATTTACCAGTTCTCCGAACTACACAAAATTTCTGCTACTGGTTCTCCAGAAGTGCTCAGAACCTGCTGAATACCACCTCTGGTCAATAGGCAATTTAATACTTACATAATGTAATCTCCCAATGCTTCTGCTGTACTTCCACCTTCTTTTATGGAAGTACCTTTGCTGGTATTTTAAGTTTTGCAGTTACTTTTAAGCTTATGCCTATTTATTGTGACGTACCATGTCTATGGTTTTGTCTTAAGATCTCATAGGCCCAGCCACAGTTCCTCAGAGTGCAAAAACAGAAGCACTGTGACCACTTTCATCCTCCTGGGCTTTACAGAGAGACCTGAATTGAATCCTCTGTACTCCAGCATTTTCCTTCTCCTGTATGTGCTGACAGTACTGGGCAATGGGTGGATGGTGACCTTGATCAGAACTGAACGGCGTCTGCACACTCCAATGTACTTCTTCCTCAGCAACCTCTCTCTCTTGGATCTTTGCTATTCCTCAGTCATTGCACCCAAGGCTCTGGAGGTTCAGCTACAACAGGGCAAGGCTTACATTTCCCTTCCATCTTGTGCAGTTCAGATGTTTTGTTTTACTACTCTGGTGACAACAGAATGTTTTCTCCTGGCTGCCATGGCCTATGATCGTTTCCTGGCCATTTGCCACCCTTTGACCTACACCTTACTCATGACCCACAAGAATTGTGTTTGCCTTGTGCTGGGGGCTTACAGTTGTGGTTTAGTGGGTTCCATCGTCCAGACTAGTGGAGCTTTCCGGTTGTCCTATTGTGGGCCAAACCATATCAACCACTTCTTCTGCGATATCCCTGCTGTCCTGAAGCTCTCTTGCTCTGACACTCAGCTTTCTGAAGTAATCCTTTTTGTTTCCACAACTGTCATTGCCATAGTAACCATCACCACCATCTCTGTTTCTTATCTCCGGGTCTTGTGGAATGTCCTCTGGAGCCACTCTACTCAAGGACGACAAAAGGCCCTCTCCACTTGCTCTTCCCACCTGACTGCTCTGAGCCTCTTCTATGGCACTGCCATCTTCATGTATGCCCAACCAAGGAACAAGGATGGATTACAAGATCAAGACAAGGTGGTCTCTCTGTTTTATACCCTGGTGATCCCTCTTCTGAATCCAGTCATCTACAGCCTGAGGAACAAAGATGTGAAAGAGGCCATGAAGCATCTGTTCAGCAGGAAGATCCTGGCCATGAGGTAGCTTGGAAGTTGGAAATGGTTGAACATCAGCTATAAGTTTGTCTTATGACAGTCTCAAGCATAGGCTGGTGATGAGAGAAGTCTCGTGAACCAGTTATTGCTTCTCCCCTTTATCTTTGTTTATTCAGGGTTCCTATAATCCATATGCAAGTGGCTAAGAATTAGACATTTCTGAAAGTTTGTTGAAGCTTGGGTTTTTTCAGGGCTCTAGAGTAATTTAGCCCTGAGGGTTCCTCCTACTAGGACTTACTATCACCACTCCTTTCCAGGAAGGCATCAAAGCCAATCTTAGGTTTTCTTTGAGCTGGCAGCCTTTGAACTCTATTCAAATTAAGCTCAGTGGAAACACTTTCAGCTCCATTTCATGCTCTCATTCATTTCAGCCAGTGCGTCCAACAATATAGTCCAAACTAAGAAACGGGTTGCATATACTTTCAGTTTAACAGCTATAGTAACAAAATCTTGCACGTCTGAATAGTGTGCTTTTTCCTCCCTCACTTTATTTTTTGTATGAACTGGGGGTGGGGGGCTTGTCCAAGACATTTCGCAAGTTATTTTCTTGGTCTGGGATCAAGCCCCTCTTATTTGACCATTGACTTGTTAGCAGCTCTTCTTTCTGTCCTTCAAGGCTATTCCCTATGTCCTCTATAGCAGAGCCTTCTCAACTTCTCTTTCACCTCTGTGCTGATCTGAAATTCCTTCTTTGATCTTGAAATGCTGTCATGATTGGTAGGTAGGATTCTTTCAAATGAATGGAGGGAAATGAGGCTACAGGGTCATGCTTTTTCCAAGTAATGAAGGCTTATCTTTCTTAGCCAATCTATAGAATAAAACCTTAAATCACCAGCATTGATGAAAGGTTTCTTTAATAATCTTAATAAATCCAAATCTCTACCTGATCCATGATGTATTGGTCATTTTTATACTTGTTCCATGCAGATTGAGATAGGAATACAGCACGGAACTAACAGGAGAGCATGCAAATCAGACAGCCTGCATTCAGAAGTTTTGAAATAATTTATATAGTCAAAGAAGACCACATTGGCAGAGGAGTGGTGATGATATGGTTAAGGATTGGGCAAGAAAGCAGAAGCGATCTGCACTGTGAAAAGAATTGTGAAATGCAACTTATCTAATCTGGTTTGACATCTATTTTTCTGGAAGTACCAGCTTAAAAGGATTCCCTGGGAGGAATGAACTTGTCTGGGCAGATCCGGTATAACTGAAACAACTAGCTGTATCTTACTTATTGAAGGTATTATAGGGATGTGAAGCTTACAACCTTTTGTCTATGGAGATTTTCAGTCATCCAGGTCATGGTTGTCCCAAAGGTGCCGAGGTGGCGCAGTGGTTAGGGTGCAGTACTGCAGGCCACTTCAGCTGACTGTTATCTGCAGTTCAGCGGTTCTAATCTCACCGGCTCAAGGTTGACTCAGCCTTCCATCCTTCCGAGGTGGGTGAAATGAGGACCCAGACTGTGGGGGCAATATGCTGACTCTGTAAACCGCTTAGAGAGGGCTGAAAGCCCTATGAAGCGGTATATAAATCTAACTGCTATTGCTATTGCTAAAGGTGCTTTTTCAAGAGGCAACTGGACTTTCTGGGTTTTCTTTGAAGACGTTTCGCTTCTTATCCAAAAAACTTCTTGGGTGAGAAGCGAAATGTGTTCAAAGAAAATCCAGAAAGCCCTGTTGCCTCTTGAAAAAGCACTTTTGGGACTTAAAACCTTTTAAAATCAATCTTTTCCTTGATCTACAAAACATGATTATTCGATCTTTTTACTACCTCCCTTCTATGTTTAGCATGTCTTGGTTAGTGATCATTCACAAATACAATGGTAATAAAAACAATTTCCCCATTATCTTTTTACATGTATTTATTAAATGTATTTATCATCCATCTCGCCAGAAGGCAACTCATTTACAATTTTTGTGCACCTGACAACGAAGTCTATCAGAGTGAGAGTAACATTGGTAGCACAGTATGAGAATTTTTAGATGGCTGTAAGGAGTGGACTTTCTTTCTTCTCTCAAGTTAAGTCATGTATTTACTTAATGACCATTTTGCTTAATGGCCTGGTTGCTGGACCGGAACTCAGTCACTAAATGAGGGGTTGATGTATTAGACCTAGGTACCTAGGCAACAAATCGGCCAGTCTCTGCAGCAGCCTATAAGGCCTGAAATGAGATTAATAGAAGTTCCTCCTAACATTCCTATAAAACCAGTGAATTTTGTTACAGGGAGCCTCTATATACAGCAGCTACTGTGTAAATATTTTTGCTTTCTGCTTGATATTCCCAGATTTTGATGATAATAAAGTTTATACCTTCATTCACTCCACAATGCATTTTTAAGTTTCACTTTTAGTGTGTTAGTGTTTAATCAAGAGCCCCCACACAATTCCATTGGCAATTAATTTTATTAAGAGGCAGGATACACGTTTAAAGCTTCTGAAACAGCACCAATGACATTAAGGCTTTTTAAAAAGTCATTTCTGGATCACATGCTTCTGAGGCAACAATCATATCAAATGTAATTCAGAGATATTGATATATTCAAAGACCCTCCGAAGTATAAAAAATATATGATTAAAGCTGGGCTTTGGGGAATCGGTGAAACCCCTTCATTATAAAGCTATCAAAAAAATAATAATCCCTTCTTCTCCGTTGATCACTTTGACTGACCGAGAGCATGAATGGCTGCATTTTCCAGCACTTCAACTTTCTCCCCGTCTTTTGCTGGCATCACTGCAAGATTGACCATTGCTCGGGCCACAGTCGTGGTAGGAATAGACATATATGTGGGAAAGAAATGGGCTACCACTCCTAGGGCTTTCCTGGTCACCCATTCACCAGGCCGAGATTCCTGGCGATCACATAGCAGCACCCTATGGCAGAGAGGCAGAAAAAGAACTTATTTTTTTCCTCAGTTATACAGTATGATATCTGGATTTTATTGCTCTCAACATAGCAGCAACAAGAAGGTAATATTTTCTTATTTTCAAAAGAGATGTGCGAAGTAAGATAAATGCAAAACAAGCCATAGGAGGATGAGATAGGAATAGTGGGTTTTAGTATAGCAATAGCAATAGCAGTTAGACTTATATACCGCTTCATAGGACTTTCAGCCCTCTCTAAGTGGTTTACAGAGTCAGCATATTTCCCCCAACAACAATCTGGGTTCTCATCAATGTACATGATGAGCCATCATTATAATGAATTATTGTTTGGTTATTGATACAAAGCTCGGTAAAATTTGCCTGCCTGTCAATAGAATATACTGAAAAGTTCAATTACAAGTGTAACGTTATACGGTACCATACTAATGCTCAAGATGGTGCTTCTAGCTGAATTGATTTTTGTCCCAGAGCAATGCATTGGCTCTTTTGTATGAATGGAAATATTCCAATGCAACTCCTTGATTATATATTAGAGGGAAAAAGCACATTTCAATAAAGCTCTAAGAATTTTGAGACAGGAGCTGACGTCGCAACAGTTGATTTTTTTGGCTGCTGGACGGTCCTTTTGGACCTAAACCGTCCCGAAGAGACGGTGACAGGGAAAAGTACGTCTCGCAAAGTCCCTGATTGATCCAAGAGAATATCTTCTTGCCGGTGACAAAAGCGCAGCCAAAAGCTGCTGAAGTTGGGACAGCTCCGCAACGGGAGGAAAGCGGAAAGAGAAAGTGTGTCCATTTGGTGAGGAAATTTTATTGTTATAAAAGAGACTGTCCCCCCCCCCCAAAAAAAAACAAAGCTAACTTAAGCTTGCAAAGAAAAGAAAATAAGCAGTGAAATTAAGCTATATTGGACAGTGTGATCTTTTTTTTTTATGGATGGAGATTCAAGGAGAGAAACTTTGACAAAAGCACTACTGATAACCAAAGATAAGCTGATTAAAGAAGGTGACGGAGGGTCTCAAGATTTTACAAGGTATGTAAAAAGCAACAAGTTGTGAAGAAATTTGATTAAGGAAATAATCAGAAGATTAATTCCACAAATGGCAAAAGACATAAGACTGTACTATTACTGGAAAGACACAGGTTG